CCTCYTTGTCAAAACCATGCAAGCCCATGGCGAGCCCGTTTTAAGAGCTGGTACCTGATCCAAGCACTAATGGCTGCTACAAGAAACAGAAAAGTGAGGCTGAAGGCTACGATATTCASAGCTGCCTTAATTATTAGAGCGTGAGCTTGCAAATCCCTTGAGAAGCACGGAGAGTGTTGGCCTCAAAATTCACGGTGTGCTCAGAGAAGCCAGGGAGTTTTGGGGACATCTTGACTGCAGTCTGTCTGCCTGGCTCCACCGGACTTGGAATGAGTCCGATTCATTGCAGCAGCTCTGAATTCAGAGCAGAGGGAGCAGACAAGGCTCATTGCCTATTCCAGCCAGAGAGACTGCAACATTTGTGGTTTTCGGTTTTTTTTTTCTTTAAAATAAGGTTACTTGAGTAGAGAGCCAGGAATGGCTCCTCATCCCTAAACTGAGCCCCACTGATAATTATGCACAAACTGTCAGGGCTGCTTTGGAAAAAGCAGTTCTAGAATTAAAGCAGCCTGACATTTGTGCAGAGCTTTGCCTGCAGAAGTGTCCTCGATGACCACCAGAGTCCAGAGGGGAGAGCTGGGACCATTCAGACTCTGCACAGGGCAGCAAGAACTTCTTTTCTCAGCCACTAGTGTTCCTGAAAGTTGGGCAGTCTGGCCAAGAGGGCATGGATTCACGTTACTCCTGAGGAAAAATACAATTTCTGTGCAAAGGAAATCTCTGGATGTGTAGGAGCATCTGTTTGCAATGTGGAATGCACGAGGGTGACATCCCTCCATGCTTCATGTTCTGCTCTGGTATTTATCCTCTCAGCAAGCCATCACTGCCTCATCTTCCAGGACTGTGCTTCAGCTTAGACATCAGCAATTTCCCCTGCCACGGGCAATCAGTGAAATTACCTGATTTAAGGCCAGAGGAGTCAAAAATGTTACACTTTGGAAAACTCTYCTCACAGCTTTATTGCTTTTTCACCTTTCCAGGCTGCAGACCCAGTCACTTCTTTCATTTTGCACCAGGCTGGAGGAGAGACCACTGGTGCTGGCACCACTTTCCAAGCAGCACCCTGAGCATCCTCCACCAGCTTCAGCCACCCTCTCCTGCCCTGCACTGCTGGGCTCTGTTTGYCCAAAGTAAATGCAGGCAGATTTCTCTGTTGACCGTGGGGATTTTGCTTGCTCAGGTGGATCACCATTTTTATTTTATTTATTTTTCTGCTAAAAGTCTGTTCTATGCAGATAAAACCCCAGGTCAGTCACAAACAACTCCCAGCCAGGACACAAGGATTCACGGATGTTGGTGCTGTCTCTCCATTTCTTGGGAGGGATGGGGAGATTGTTGGATGCTCTCCCGCAGTGACAAGGTTTGCAATTTCTTTTTAAAAGCCTGTAATCATCTCACTTCTGTGAGCTATTCAGGCATTTACATTGTTTTGCAGCATCTTGAGTGCTGGCTGGAAGCAGCCCCAGGTTTTGGGGGAGTGCAGCAGGATGGCTGTGGGGGCTGTGCTGACAGRCACCCCCACACTGAGCAGAGGAGGGCTTGCTCCTGCCCACAGGTGAGCAGGTTCCTGAGCATTGTCTTTTATCGGGAAAGAAAAAAAAGGGGAAAAAACCCCAACAAATCAATTCTGTTCACAGGAGAMTCGAGCTGAACTCCAACTAATAAACACCGAAGGATAAAGAAATGCCACAAAAACAAAAGTCCTGTTGTGACAGAGCCACGGCTGAGGTTCATTCATTTTTTAGAGATTGTTTTTCCTTTTCTCCTCCTGGCTAAAAATGATGTTTTCAGAAAAGAGAAAGCATCACCAGCATACAAACACATCTCAAAAAGGCATAGGAGCTGACTTTCCCTGCGGGTGCAGCCATCTGACACAGGACACAGTGTGGGCACAGAGACCTGGATGGGAGCTCCCTAACTCCATCCCCTACAGTGCTAACCTGTACCTGCAGCACCTGTGAACCCAAGGAACAAAACCTAGCAGGCTCTTGGGTGATGTTTTTCCCCATTTCCCCTTGCAGGTAAGCCATCCCTCTGATGGGTGATGTTTTTTCCCCATTTCCCCTTGCAGATAAGCCATCCCTCTGATGGGTGATGTTTTTTCCCCATTTCCCCTTGCAGATAAGCCATCCCTCTGATGGGTGATGTTTTTCCCCATTTCCCCTTGCAGGTAAGCCATCCCTCTGATGGGTGATGTTTATCCCCATTTCCCCTTGATAAGCCATCCCTGTGACAGTGTTTTCTCCCCCTAACCCATGCTGTGAGGCTGGCAGAGCACCTGGAAGCATGGAAAGCCAGCTCTTTTCTCACTTAGAACCATTTAGCACAGAAAGGAGTGATCCTATAACAGTTCAGCTCACTTGCAGGGATGCAAAGGACTCCCTGCTCCCCACAGCCACCCCTGCACAAGTTCCAAGGTCGAAATKCAGCCCTTCACAGTGAGTCCTTGCCCTGAGGAGCTGCAGTCGGAGGAGACCAGAAGGCAGGAGAACACTGATTCCCCAAGTCTGTGCCATCTCGTCTCCATGCTGTCATGCCATCTGTGGGCTTTATCCCAGCAACTCCTGTCACATCCACTCCCATTAGCATTTTTCAATGCTCTCCTGCCCTTTCCCAGCATCTGCTGACCAAATCCCTTTGGTCAACGCTGCTCCTCATCCTTCATCAAGGCTTTTAATTTTCATGATGCCGTTACCCACTTTTGCTGCACTCTGCCCTGCAGGAGGCTCAGCACACGAGCTGCAAAACAGGCAACCCAGCTCGCTAGCAAAGAGAGCTTCCAGACAGGGATTGAGCTGCTATTAATTTAGCCTATATTTGTTTTCAAAAGATGCCTGGGGAAGGTACAGCATTTCCCTTTCCAGCTAGAGGCTTAACAGCCACAGGCTTTCTCCTTTCTCAGAAATGTAAATCCATGTTTATTTTGCATGTACCCGATTAATCCCCAAGGCATTACATCCAACAGGCCAAAATCAGAGCTCTGTCTCCACCAAAACACTTCAGGATAATGAAGAGAGGGAGACATGCTTTACCTTTACTAGAGGAAACATCCATTTATTTGGGACTGAGGCAGCTGCACAGAGTATAAATTATTTTAATTGGTAARCTCAACAGGACTCACTCCCCTCTTAAAGCAGAAAGGAAAAACCTGGAACATCCATTTCCAGAGTGATCACTGAGGARCAGCCAGACTTCAATTCCTACGAGGCTCTTCAGAGGGTTTGRTCGTTCAGGATGCTCTCACATATACAAAATACTAATCTACCTGCAGCACCAGCCATAATCTGTTCCCAGCTAAAACTTGTGCAACTCTGCTGAAGCCAATTTATGAAGCAAACATTTAATTTAGCGAGCAGGCACACAATCCTAAATTTAAACATATGTCAAGCCAGCTAGTGGCTTTGTTTTAATTAACTCTCAAACTTTGTGGTTGTCATTTCTTTATATAAATGAGGATGTTCTGCCAAGGGCAGCCTGTAAACCTGTGTGCATCCCGACWAAACCTCCTGCTATTTCACAACCACTTTTCAAAGAGCTCTTGCAGAGGCAAGGGGATGTGGATGTTATTRTAAGGGTCCATATGGCAGTACACTGGCACTGCAGTATTAAATCAGAGGTATTGTAGCTTTCCAGCCCGGATTCTCACAGTACCAGGTAATGTATATGTAGCTTTATTGTTGTACAATTTTAGTGGCTATGCATTATTCAAGAGCAGCCTAAGTCTCTGCACTGCCGGAGGTGATTCAGCGATGATAAAGGGAATACGCTTTGCTCTAAAGGCGGGAGTGARGGGATTTCACGGGTCGCTATCTCCTCCACCCACGGAGAAACAAAGGCAGCATTAACACTTCTGGTAAAGAAATCAGCTGGCGCCAAATCCTCGTCGATAATTAAAATGAAGGTACAAGCTGCCTTAACGTGYAGTCAGACTTAGGAACTCTAACCTGCTCTCTAAATTAAATGCTTTCCTTGATAATTTGGCTCTCGCAGCAGGCACTGAAATCTGCTGGAAGATGCCATCTAGTGGGTTATGGAAGTTTATTTAAGTTTAAATCCACTTGCTGGTGTGGGGCGAGGGTGGCAAAGACCTGCAGGTGCTGGGGTGCAAAACGGTTTCCGTGGACTTCTTGTTGTCGCTCTAGGAAATTAGACATTTCCCTGCGGGGCTTTGCATTGGAAGAGAACTAATATTTATTTTAGCAGAGCCCAGCAGGGCACCGGATTGTCACAGCTTTGCTGTTGACACAGCCGAGCCTCACGGCTGTTGTGCTGGCAGAGCATCTTCCTGAGCGCTCTTCATTGAGGAAACGGATCCACTCCCCGTTTTTGGGAAAGCTGTGCCGCCATTGATTTTTTCCTTAAAAAAAACCAAACCCACAAACATTATTCCGTGCCTCTAAATGACGTAGTTTACATTATACAGAAACCCCTTAATTGGTATTAACCTTAATTGGTATTCGAATAAACAGCACTGTTTTTTTAATGCGCACTGTGGATGGGGATGGATTTGGAGCGATCCCGGCTGTCGGTGAGGCCGGCGATGGCATCTCCAGAGTCTCTGCTGGCCACTGCCTCGTCCCCCGGCTGCCGTGTGTCCGTGGGGCGAGCTCCAGCGCTTCGGGGACCACCCGGACCCTTCGGGGAACACTCACAGCCCTTCACCTCCAGGCTGCTGTGCTTCCCCCAACCCAAGCCCCGGGTCCCCTATAAGGGGGTCCCTCCCTTTTTAATGTGTTTTAAGCCAATTAACCACCTCGACTCGCACACCGCCATCCCGTTCGAATGCAGGCACCCTGCCGTGCCGCGGCACCCTCGGAGCGCCGTTCTCAGGGAGTCATTAGCGGGGAGTCATTAGCAGGGAGCAATTAGCGGGGAGTCATCAGCGGAGGGTCATTAGCGGAGGGTGATTAGCGGGGAGGAGGCGGGGCTCGGCGCGGGGGCGGGGCCTCCCCGGGCGGTGGGCGTGGTCTSGCTGGCCCCGCCCCCGCGCGGAGCGGAGCGGAAGTGCCGGAGTTGCCGCCCGGCGCCGCCGCCGAGCGCGGGCGAAAGTTGCGCTCCGGGAGCGCGGYGGGGGCGGCCGGACCGCGCTCCCTCCTCACCCGCGGCTCCTCATCCCCATCCCGCTCCTCTGCCCGCTCCCGGCAGCCGCTCCGATGCGGCGGAAGCAGAAGCGGCTGCTGCAGGCGGTGGGGCTGGCGCTGGCCGCCCTGGTCTTTTTGCCCAACGTGGGGCTCTGGTCCCTGTACCGCGAGCGGCAGCTGGAGGGCGGCGGCGCGGCCGGAGGGGACGGGGCGGCCGCCGCGGGGGCAGCGGGCGGCGAGGCGCCGGTGAGTGGCGGGGCTCGGGGGGCTGAGCGGCCCCGGGGGTGCAGGGGGGGCGCTGGGTGACGGTCGGGGGGCTCCCGTGGGAGCTGCCGGCTCACGGGGCTGGGCGCGACCCCTCCCCATCACATAGGGGAGCTCGGCACGGGAGCGGGGCCAGGAGAGCCGGACATCCCCAAAAGAGGAGGGGGCAAGGGAGGGAAGCCGCGGTGGGCTCCTGTGTTCCCCCAGGAAGGAGCTGTTCTACGTATCCTGTGCCTGGGTTGGAGSGGGAGCGCCAGTACTTTCTTGGCAATTCACGGGTGCGGGGACGGGAGGSTCTGCTCCCCTTTTTTTGGCTTAGSTTGGTAAGGGAATAAAGCCAGGTSTTTGCCTCTTGCGCCAAGGAGTGAGGAAAGGGAGCTTATCCCATCCGTGCGCAGAAAAGAACGCGGTTCCGTTTCCCAAGGGTGTGCCTCCGTGCCATTTGTCTTTACCTGCCTTGGGAAGGTGTGGGAAGCAAACATCACCTGTTACTCTGAGTYCCCGCAGAGCTTAGGGCGAGGGCTGGCAGAGAGTGCCGGGTGGAGCTGGAGGATTATGTCAGTGTAGGGATGCTCTTTTGGGAAAASAGAAGCGGGTAACTCTTGCTGAGAGGCAGAGGATGCCCGCTGGATACGTGGCCTGAGGATGTTGCAACACATGACTGCGTTCCTTTCTTGTCCCACTGGTGTAGTAGTAAATTTTAAAGCCAAACCTGTCTGTGTAGTGTGTGAGTCAGGRAGGCTGGATCACCCAAATTAGGCGGTTGGAAGCACGGTGTAGCTGCACTTACTTTTGGCTGCGTAATTGCTTTGTCCCCTTCTGGGTTTAGCTTTGTGCCATTAAGAATGATTGGGACTTGAAAGCTTGAGATGTCATTGTTGTAACTATCAGTTCAGCTGCCACTCTAAAAGGCTCTGCTTGTTCAAAACCACTTAAAACTCTTAGTTGTCTAAWTCTTTCCCTCCTTGGAGACTTCCTGCTGTAACTGCGCCGTAAAGGTGGAGARACCTGCTGTGACAATTTCTGCTCTGAGGGAGAGAAGGCTCTCAAAGAGCTGTAGTCAAACTGGGACTGGGCTCTTCTTTCCCACAAGAAACGCTTTTTCAAATGCAAGCTTTTTTTAAAATCTGGATATAACCAGGCTCGTGTCCCATGCTGGTGGGGAAAGGGATCAGCTGTTGCCTGTCATAAAACATAAATTTGTAGCAGATCCTCAAACCTGCACAGAAGTCCTTTTGACGTGATCGCACAGTGATCRTTCTGAGCCTGGAGTTCCTGATGTTACTGCCTTATGCTTGTATTTCTGTGGGATGCAGGAAATCTCTTTTGCATGACTGGTAAAAATCAAGTCCTGCTGCATAGCTTCACGTGCTGTGGTGTTAGGGCGAAATGAAGACCTTTGTAAAATTATAAATTCTCCAGTGGTAAAGAGGAGAAAGTTGGCAATTATTCTTAGGAGGCTTCAGARTGACRAGTWGACTTTTATGGTTTTRGTCTTCCAAAATTGTCCTTGTGCTSTGAGCTTTGGGTTGGTRTAAGGCTGGCAGTACCACTCTGCTGAATTTTGTGTCCTTGCAGCATTCTCGGTGTTCAGATATCCTGAGCTGCCCGTGTGGTACACAATGCCTCCTCCATTTTTCTTTATGTCTCTGTAAAGTATGGCAGCTGTCAGTGAATTGAGATCTGCTTTTGTTTTGATGGTGTGTGGAGCTGGGCAGGAAACGCCTGTGCGGCTCGCGGGTGAATTCGCAATAAAACCTCTCTGCACTTGTGTAAATCAGAGTTGCTGGGTTTTAGGCTGAAGGCTTCATCTTCCAGTGTAATTAACRTGGAGTTATGGGCTGCAGGGGGTCTGTGAGTGAAGATATATTTGTGTCATAGGCCTTTTTTTTTTATGATCTGGCCCTGAAATAATAGCTCCAGTTATACTGAGCAAGGGAAAACATACCCTAAAGGACAACAGGCTGTCTTGGTAAAAATAATTTCAGATGTAGCAGAATAAAAACAACTCAAATGTGATTTTGTTTTTCTGTTTAGYTGTGTGGGTTTGTTTTACTGTTGTCATAGAGGTATTTGCCAGCTGACTGCAGAGAGTTTTGTGGGCATCCTCACAATCAATGGTTCCAGTCTCTTTTCCTTGGTCTCAACAAGCATTCATGGGTTTTGTACTTACTAATCAACTTCCAGCTTGTAAATGAATATGTTGTTTGTCTGCTTGTTCCTGAAGCCATTTGGAAGGGCTGACTTATTAGTATAAAAACTCCAGATGATAGGACAGAATATAGTGAAAAAATATATTCASAGCAGTCAGGAAAGATTTTCTTCTGTTTCTGGCTTTAATTTGCTTTTTTTTKGTGCAGGSTAATCTTTGAATTGAGGACATTTCSTRTGTATTACAGAACTGAGCTTTTCAATGAAATCTCTGTCCAGGCTCATTCCTTCTCTTTAAATGGTGTCTGCTGTTTCAGTGAGTAGTTTTCTTCCTCAGAGGAACAGCAAAAMGGGAGAAATGGTTTTAAGAAACAGCTGAATTAAAGCTCTAAAACAATTCCTAGAACACTGAGTTGTGATGCTAAAATTTTGAAGTTTAAAGCTGCCTAGGAGTTTTTGTTGTCTGTCTGTGCTGCATGTTACCTTCAGTAACATGGCAATATATCTCAGTAAGGTGATTTGGCCTTATTTAATCTTTCTAGTGCCTGAAACAAATGTGTCAGAAAATTAAGCAATCAGAAACCACGTAAATGTATTCTAGGAAAAAATTACTCGAAACGGTTTCTGTGGAAGTGCCTAGGCAGCTAATTGCTTCTGTATTTACATGTTCAGGGGAAACATTATGGTGGCTGAAAATAGTGTATTGCTTTAATAAAGAGGGTGAGGTCTGTGCTCTTTCCTTCTGCCTTTGGGTTTGTTCTTTTGCAGCTCTGTGGGTGCTTCTTGCTCCACAGAGGAGAGATGGAGAGAAGTCATCAAGGTCTTGGCCTCAAGGTCGTGCTGCAGATCTCAGTAGAAAAGCTGAAGCTTTGAGTTAGTCCTCACTTAACTGCTGTGTGCTCAGAAGTGGCCTGTGTCACTGAACACAGTGGCTCAGCAGASGAGATGATCTGGGAAGTCCTTTTTTTCCTGGGGTGTGTAACAGGTTTGGCTTTAATGGGGATGGTGGCGTCGTGGCACTGAAGTATTTCTGCTGACAGCTTAGAAGCTSCTCAGACTTCATGACTGTACTGTTTGCTCACCACTATGTGTGTCTCGGCATGCTCGTGGAATGCAGATTGACTTTTCTGTAGATTCATCTTTTTGGTTTTTTTTTTTTCTCACAACTATTCAATAAGTAAAACCATACGATCTGTGGGTGTGGGGGTAGGAAGAAGCGAAAGGAATGCAGCTATTCCTTTTGTCTCTTGGATCTGTGCTGTCTGCCTCGGAGGCTGCTGAGCATCCTCAGCCGAAATGTTTAATTGATGTGGATGTAGCTTTGCAGTGTGTTACCCGTGGATGAGTGGGACTCTGGGCTGGTTTATGCTCTGGCTAATACCAGTATTTACGTGGCTTCCAGTGCTCTGCAGAGCTSCTGCTCTGCACCTCTGTGGTCAGGCTGGAGATCCGCACTCTGTGTGAAACCTGCTGTTCTGGGAACGTGGCATTTGAGCTCGCAGAGATGCTGAGCTTGGATGGTTTTCTTTGAGTCGCTGGCTAAAAGCACCGTGGCAAATTAGCTGCCTTTGGTGGCAGGGCTTTTTTTATCTGATATGATGAATGCTTTATGGAGTCGCCCTGTAGCTTGTTGTAGCAGTAATTTGTGCTCTATAAATTAACTCGGGAGCGTGATGGAAGTGTATAAATCACATCGGTGATTGTGTGGTGCCCTCTGCTGCCGGCCGGCTGGAGCGAKGTGGGGTACACCCTCCTGCTGTTTCCTTGGCTCTGAGAAACCAACTGCAGGCTTGGAAATGGCTTGGGAGGATGCTGCTGTTGGAAAGTTTGGGCTGATAAACTTTGGCTTTAGTGCGATTGAGATTAAAGTTTGCAACCAGCATTGCTGACAGTGCAGCCCTGGTGATGATCTGAGTGGGGAGCAATGCTGCTCGTGTCCTCCTCAGCTCAGGAAGGGATGGGCTTTGCCACTCTGTCACCCCCTGTGACATTGTCAGCGTTTTTCAGTGCCATGGTAAAAGCTAAGAGGGAAAAGGATGCTTGTTAAACAACAGGCTCAGTGCTGCCAAGGCTGGGGAGAGAAGAGAAGGGCTTGGGAAGATGGAGAGGAAAAACCTCTGCCAGCCAGAGGCAAACAGAACACCCAGTTTGCTATAATTCATAAGCAGATTCCTTGGGCAGGTAGGCTGGTTGTGTCCTGGACCTTGCTGCTGCTCCTGTCCAGGGCCTGGATCCTCGCACACCTCTTGGAGGTTGCTGTGTTTGCCAGGCACTCAGCTGRTGGAAAAGGAAACTTTGAAAAGCTTGTTTTTGTAAGGATAGTGTAAAACAATTGGCATCTAAGGACTGGAGTGCAAGTACTACAGCTGAACAAGCCTGTTTTAATTTAAGAATGACTGATTCCCAGTGTGGGCTGCTCTGAAGTTTATCACTTCAGTGCACTTGTGAAAAAAAAACCAGCATTTCCTGAGCTGGATAAGTGTGTCCTGTACTCCTGATTGGCAAAGTGAGCTGAAGTGAAGTGTCTAAGCCATCTCACAGCCGCAGAGTGCAAAGTAAAATTTGAAAATATGTTTATGAAGAAACCGGAGCTTTCAGTGGCCTTAGTCAAGGTCTCATTGTGGCAACACAGAGCTGAATGAACAAATGGGCTGTACTGTCAGTTTCCTATGCTGTGTGAAAATAAAAGGTTTATCATCCTTCTTATCATGGAGCAGGTCCTCCTGTTATTGGAAAAGTGGTTCTGTTTCACTGTTCAAACATGTTCCATGTGTACTTAATTGCTGCAGTGGTGACCTTTATTCATGGAAAGAAGATTTCTGCTGCAAAAC